AAATTCATTCTGTGACTTTCTAGAAAATAGCTCTGATATATGAAGGGGGGAAAAAGTGTGTGCAGGACAATAGTTGTGATGCGGCTTCTGAAAATTTCTAAAAATATGACTGACGAGCTAAAAATGTGTAGAAAAAATAGAGGAATAATTATTTGTGTAATTCTTTCAGATAACAATTCCAGGAATTCTGAAATCTGTTCTACTTTGATTTATTTCTCCTTCACTTCTCATAAACCGTCTAACCTTAAAGTTTCTTACAGCAGGGTCATGCTTTTTATGGCTTTCAGTGGTGTTACTGCTACTTTCTATAGTAATGGGTGACAAAATCGCTCAAGGTTTGTTTCTACCCCACACATCTTCCACTTCTTAAACTGAAAATAACAGATAATTACAAAGGGTAATTGTATTGACATGTCATATGAAGTATGACAGCTTGCCAGATAGGTTCCATAGGGTCTGGTTTTGTCCTTACCTTGTTCAGATCAGAAGACCAGTACATTTAAAGTAAGAAAAAAACAACATGAGTTAAAAAAAATGCAGCAAGGAATGGTATGTTCTTCTGTAAGTAATTGCAGAGTAAGAGCCCAATTTTTTATAATTATAAAGGTTATATAAATGCTTCAAATACACTTGTTCATTACTGTGCATTGTTAAAGGTAAGAAATCAAGTTTCTGCACTCTCAAAATGACCCTTCCAATTCCTCAATACCCCTTACATTTGTCAGCTCTAATCATGTGTCATTCTAATAACTATAAATGCTTTTGCTATCATTATTCAATATTTTGTAATGACTAAAAGAGCCAGTCATTGAAAGTCACACAATTGTGAGCCAAACATTTTATAATCTATGTTTTAGAGACAAGTGAGAGGTACCATCAGACATATGGCACAGTACAAGAAAACAATAATGCTCATATGTAAGGATCTGTTTGGGTTTGGGAGATTTTTAAGAATCCTCTAACGAATATTTGCAGATTTTATGGAATACAAATGTAAAGTTTCTGCTGTATCAGCTTCTATCTTGTGGTGGAAAGCAAGAGATGGTTCTGTATTTCCTGATAAATTTCATATAGATGAACTGAAGTTTTTTCCAGTGAAAGCAGCTTCATTCATTCATTTGCCATCATACTTTTTTGTAGAGTGTGATGAGAATAGAAGGTGAAACCACCAAAATCCTACTAGGGGAAAAGAATTCTTTTGTTGTTGTTGTTGTTTGTGCTACTCTGAACTGAATTTGGGCAGTTAGATGTGATAGTTTATTTTCCAGATGTTATTATTTTCCAGCAGCCTATGATCTCTTCCTTTTGTGGAGTTTTCGGGGTTTAAGGACTCCTTGCTCTATTTCAGTATTGCTCTGGGGTTTTCCAGTTTGGCAGTCAAAGCCATTTTGCTCTGACGAAATGTCCATGTGCCATGTTAGGGTCTCAATGAATAGCTGTAAATCTGAATTAGCTCCATTGGTTCATTGTCCACAGAAAATATCTCCAGGTGCAAGTTCAGCTTTTACACTAATTGCAATTCATTCTCTTACTGCACAGGAAGGAAGAGGGTGAAGTGCAGACCTGTATGATGGAAAGACTTTAGGGACCTGGCCAAAGTTTTTCAAAGGCCTTAAGTGACTTAACTTCCAGTTTCTGTGTTTCCAAAACTCTATACAATTAAGCTTCTACATCTTTTTTCATCCTTCCTCCTCCATCACCATTTACTCTCAACAGGATTTTTGAGTAAAATTTTCAGAAGTATTTCAGAAAGTTAGGAGATTTATCTGTATTTTCAAAAGAGACTAATTAATCAAGGATCTAATTTTGGTTTTATTATTTTTTATTTTTAAGCACCTGGAGTTATTAACAAGTACACATTAGCATTTTCAATTACAATGAATTTTCTAACTCTAATCACTCTCTTAATAAAGTGAACAGTACTGTGGATGCAAAGTAGAATTACTCCAGCAGTCATTGCTAACGATGTTTATGTACTTAACCGTGCGGTAGTATCTATGTGACACCATTTGGAAATCCCAGCATTCTGTGAAACTGAGGGAACATCTGTGTCAACTTCTTTCCCAATTTTCTTTACAAAATTAGAATATTGGTGAAGATCTAAAATAGTTCAGAGCTTGGCTTAGTTAAATGAGACTCCACTGCTGATGAGTACCAGAAAAAATATATCATAGAAAGATACAAATATCAGAGAAGCAAGCCAGAGGAGGTAGCACAGACGAAATGTGTTGTAAAAACAGTCTCAGCTTACCAGTTATTGATCAAGCCATTAATTTAAATATTTTCTAAAGAAATGTAGTTAGCTGCTTGTGTTTAATATATGTAGTTATATCAACCAACTAAAAATGGCAGCCATAAATTATTAATTATGAATAAACAACAAACACAAGGTTCTCAGTTTTCTTAAGTCCATTTCGTACCATTCCAAGAATATCATCACTTTCCACTCCCTGTTTGAAATTTTGGGTCAACGTTTTGATTTGATATCTATGTGTTTCAAAAAGGTCGACACCCAGTGTTGTACTTTGTTAATAACCACTTCAAAAACACTGTCTTCCTTTTTACCTTGATTTTATCGTAAGTACACAGCAGGTAATTCTGCTTTCATCGTATCTGGGCAATGAAAATAGAAAATATAACTTACTTTCTTAATTAGCTACCGCAAAACTTTCGAAAACAATGAACATGTCATTTCCCTCATTGCGAAAATGCTGTGAAATTGCCCTCAATGAAGAGCAGGAAGCTGCATTAAAC